CACAGAATGACAGGAAAAGGGGTTCAGGGGGTTCCTCAGTGTTCAAAACACAGGGGTCTGGGGTTTCAGAAAGGCAGGAACGGGAGTCCAGGGGGTCCCAGGGTCAAGGAAAAGGGAGACCTGGGGGCTGGGAGAGGCGGGATGGCTGGGAAAGGGGGTGCAGGGGGTTATTGGTGCAGGATAAGTGGGTTAAGGGGGGTTCCTGAGCCCAGGAATGGGGGCTCAAGGGGGGTCCCAGAATCAAGGAGAAAGTGAGAATGTAGGGACTGGCACTAGAGTGGGTCTAGAGGGTCCCTGTGCCCAGGAAAGGGGGGTCCAGGGGCCTCCAGTGTCAGGGAAAGGTGGTTCATTGGGTGGGGAGACCTGGGATGTGCAGGAAGGGGGTTCAGGGAGTACTGGGATTTGAGGAAAGGAGGGGTTGGGGACTGGGAGAGGCAGGAATGGGGGTTCATGGCGTTCTAGGGTCAAGGAAAAGGGATGGTCTGAGGTCTTGGAGAGGTGGGATGATGGGGAATGGGGCTGCAGGTGGTCATGGATCTGCAGAAGGGGGTGCAGGGGGGCCTCAGTGTATGGAAATGGGGGATTCAGGGAGTGCCAGGAAAGGGGGAGCACAGAGGTCTAGGAGTCAAAGAAAGTGGGGTCTGGAAAACCAGGAATGGCTGAGCAGGGGGTCCCAGTGCCCAGGAAAAGGGGGTGCAGGGGGATCCCAATAATAATAGGGAAGAGAAGGAGGGAACAATGGGATGAGGCTCCTAAGTGCTGATTTCCAGGGGCAGGAAGGTGGGGAGAGGGCAGGGAAGTGCCCCCAGGGAAAGGGATCCCTGAGCGGATCTGCTGGTCAGGGCCAGAGTGGGAACTGGGAACAAGGATTTTGGGAATGCAGAGCAGTGGGAGGGGGGGTTGCCCTTTCCCTCCTGCCCATCCTGCGCTTCCCAGAGCCCAGGCATGCCAAGTTGCCCCCAGTGACCCAGTCACTGCCAGTTGATCCCACTTGCTGCCAGTGTCAGTCATCCCCAGACACTCCCAGTATGACCCCACTATGGGCCCTGTTGCTCCCAGAATGATCCCACTTGCCCCAGTTGTGGTCCCAGTCCCCCCAGTATGGTTCCAGTATCTTCCAGTTGATCCCAGCTGGGTCCCAATCTGTCCCCAGTTGGTTCCCAGTGTTGGCCCTGTAGGTCCCAGTAACCCACCATAAGGTTCCGTTCACACACCCTGTAATCCCAGTGTGATCCCAGCCACTCCCAGTATAGTTCCAGTCACTTCCGGTACGATCCCAGTCATTCCCAGTGTGATTCCAGTTGCCCCTGACATGGTCCCAGTTGCTTCCTGTCAACACCAGTATGATCCCAGTCAACGCCAGCATGAGCCCAGTTGCTTCCAGTCACTCCCAGTATGATCCCAGTTGCCTACAGTGTGTGGCCACTTGCTCCCAGTATTAACCCAGTCACTCCTAGTATGATGCTCTTAGGGGTAGGTGCAATCGTGCAAGAATTTGTAATGGAAATCTAGAACTTGTTTTGCTTAGAAAAACTGCAAAATGCCTTTTCAAACGGGTTAGATGGGGTTTTTTCCCTCCTGCGTTTCAGAGAAAGTTGCAGGGAAGGTGTGAGCAGCTCTCTCTCTCTGTGGTATACAGAAAGATGACATGTTTGCAGACATGTACAAGGCCTCCTGGGGCCGGGGGGGGGAGAGAGGGAAGATACAAGAAGCCTTGGAGAAGGTGGGGCATGGCCTTCTTCCCCTGAAAGGTCTGATGTGCTGCATCATAAAAATGTGTTTCTTGCATCTGAAATAAACCTTTTTTTAATCCTTCCACTGCCTTGGTGTTCTTGGGAAGAATACCTGCATATGTTTACGTTACAATGCTTTTTACTCCCAGTTACTCGCAGTCCCCCCCAGTATGATCTCAGTCACTCCCAGCATGATCTCAGGTGCTCCCAGTATATCCCAGTTGCCCCCAACAGGGTCCCAATTGCACCCAGCATATTCCTAGCCACTGCCAGTATGATCCCAGTCACTCGCAGTATGATCCCAGTTGCCCCCAGCACAGTCCCAGTTGCTCCCTGTTCCTCCCAGTTGCCAGTTTCACCCAGTTGCCACTAGCATAGTCCCAGTCACTGCTAATATGATCCCAGTTGCTCCCAGTATATCCCAGTTGTCCCCAACAGAATCCTGATTGCCCCCAGGATGCTCCTTGTCACTCTCAGTATGAGTCTACTATGATCCCAGTCACCCAGTCACCCTTAGCGTGATCCCAGTGTCCCCCAGTATGGGCCTAGCTGCTCCCAGTGTGATCCCAGTATGGTCCCAATTGCCCCCAGAATGGTTTCAGTTGCTTCCCATTCCTCCCACTGTGATCCCAGTTGAACACAGTTGCCCCTAATATAGTCCCAATGTGACCCCAGTCTCTCCCAGCATGGTCCCAGTCACCCCTAGTATGGTTACAGACACTCCATATGATCCCAGTGTAGCCCAGTCTCTCCCAGTATGAGCTCAGGATGATCCCAGTGTAGCCCAGTCACTCCCAGGATGATCTCAGGATGATCCCAGTGTAGCCCAGTTGCTCCCAGGATGAGCCCAAAGCTCCTGGAACACCTGGAGGACCCACCCAGAGAAGGGTCCTTCCAGGTTCTGCAGCTGCAGAAGAGCCCCCAGGAGCCGAGGTCCCCCCAGAGCCCCCCCAGGCAGGAGAAGGTGGTGACAACTCTCTGGCCCCAGGAGTGCAGGAGTGTGTCCAGCCCAACCCCCCAACAAGGGGCTCCCACAACCCCTCAACACCTCCAGGGATGGGGAGCTCACCGCAGATATCTTGGGAGAGTCTCATTTTGGGTTTTGGGGGTGGAGGTTTGGAGCTTGGGGAACTCCAGAGCTGAGTCCCAAATGTCCCTTGGGGGTATATTGAGCAGTTCTCAGGAAGTGGGTTTTTTGGGGGGGTTTTGGTGGCGGCTGCCAGATTATGCCAATGGTTGGAATTAAAGGAATTACAGAGCTGTGATTGAACCACTTTTGTCCTGCAGCTTTTAATGATGGAAAATCAGATATAGAAAATGAACTATTCATTACCACAGATGAACAGACAAAAGATTTTAATCAGAATTATTTACTACACAATATAAATGTTAAAACTACCAGTAGTATAGTATAAGATTGTTGAAACAATTATACTAAAGCTGGCAAAAAATAAATAATTATTAAGTAGAGATTGATGTGACTCACCCAGACCAACACTTGTGGGGAAATCTCTGCTCTCAGCCTCCAGGAGTGACCTTTGAGGGGGTCTCCAGCCAAGGGAGGAACCTCCACTCATACACCTCAAGAAGGGTTATGTTGGAAGAACCTGCCCCTGGGAAAGGGGACTGGAACTTTACAGTATAAAGTAATGGACTGACAGCCATTGGACTCCAGGGGTTGCCTCACCATCAGGATGTTAATTCAGGGTTGAACCCAGACTGGTTCCAACATCTCCTGGCCTGGCCTGGGCCCCTCTCAGCTCAGCACTGATACATTTGCAAATAGGGCATTGTCTTGGTCCCATTCCAGGGGGGAATGTCCTGCCACAGTGTCCCAGTGTGCCTGTAATTCCATCCTGCCCTGCAGTGTCACAATGGTCCCTTGATTCCACAACTTCCCCAAGTGTTTCCAGGTTCCTTTGGTTCCATGAGGCCCCCATGTCACAAAGGCCCCTGGATTCCATGAGTTTCCACAGTGTCTCAGGGTCCCTTTTTTCCAGGAGGCCCTGCAGGCTCCCAATTGTCCCTTGATTGCAGGAGGTTCCCAAATGTCTCAGGGTTCTTTGGTTCCAGGAGGCCCTGCAGTGTCACCTTGGCCCCTTCATTCCATGCAGGCCCAGGCAGAGGAACCCCAGCACGGAGCCCCCGACCCCCGTCAGCATCTTGGGGGGCGGCGTCCGACGGCAGCTCGGGGTGGGGGGGCAGCTGGGATATACTGGGATATACTGGGATATACTGGGAGAGACCAGGAGTGACTGGGGTCATCCTGGGACTGACTGGGCCCTGTGGAACACCCTGAAAGTTCTGGAGGGGCTGTTTTAAGTGAGCTCTGGAAAACTGTCCTGGCTGTGCAGGGCAGGGAATGCTGATGTTCTGCAGGCCCCCAGCTCTGCTCTCTGGCTCCTGGTTTCCCTCGTGCTGGGCAGTTTGAGCCCAGGCAGGGGCAGCCCTACAGGAGGTTGTGGTGCTGCAGGGCCCAGGGGCTGCGCCCCGAGGAGCTCCTGCCCCAGGGGCTCAGGGACCTGGCAGTCTGTGCTGCTGGGGGCAGGATCGTGCCCCGGGCTGTGGCTCCTGGGTGCAGAGGAGGAAGGAGAAGCACAGCTTTGGTCCCCACTCTTGTGTCCGGAGGTGCAATAGGCTGGGCTGGGGGTGGTGGCCTGGCTGGTCTCTCTTTGGCCTCGGTTGTGGGGTCTGCAGGGCCAAGTTTTGCCCTGCCCTGTTTGCAGCCTGGTGCTGACCCACTGCTGGGGCCCCCGGGCAGGTGGGTGTTTCTGCCCTGGGCTGTTCTCACTCACACCACATGTGTGAGGGGGCACTGAGGTGTTCTCCTGCCCCAAATCCTGTGTCTTGGACACTCTTCGTCCTTTCCTGGAGCATCTTCTCCCAAGCTGGGTCCTTGCCTGTTCCTCCCTGGAGCACAAACCGGGCCATTTGCAGTGGGACCTGCTGGGGGACCTGCCCTGGTCCCCGTGGCTCTGCTCTCTGGGGACAGGGAGCCTTTGGGGACTCTCTCACAAGCCACCCCCACTCATGTCCTGCTGGTCACCCAGGTGGCCCTGGCAGTGCTTGGGAACATGAGTGGGATGGGGGGTGTGCCCACCCGTGCCAGCAGGGAAGGGCACAAGTTCCAGGGGGGATGTCCAGGGAGACAGGACACTGCAGAGGAAGGGCCTGGGGGGTGCAGAGTGACAATAGAGTGGGGAGGGCGGATCTTTGGCATCCCCTCCTCTGCTTGCTTCAGGCTTCAAGAAGACACCACAGGAGAAATCCCATGGAGAAATATTTATTGATCAAAGACTATTAAAAGCCTCAGAAACAGGGGGGAAAACGTCCTTCCTGGGGGACACCAGTCCAAGGAAACTCCTGGTTACTGTCCAGGCAGGAGCAGGTGCCCGTGGGCTCCAGGGGTTTAATGCAGATAAAATCACTGGGGGGGCTCCTTCAGCAGCAGCATTTAATGCATTTGGACAGGCCAAGGACCATCTCCAAGTCCTGCACAGAAGGGCTTCACCCTCCTCAGGATCCCTGAGTGACACAATGACACCAAAACCCAGAAATGACAGAGCAGCTGCACCCACTAACTTGGATTTTTCCTTTTTCAAATGTCATTTAACTCACTAAATCCATCTCTTGCCTAGGAATGGTACAGCACAGTCAGGCACATAAAGAATTTGAAGGGCCAACACCCATTTACCAATTCCAAATTTTAATGGTTGAAAGAAAGGCCCATTTTCCTTTTGCCCTGTGCCACCACCAACAGGAATCGTTTCTGACTAAATTGTCTTTTACTCTTATTTCAAACCCAACACGCCACTCCAGGATCTCCCAAGACATCCATTTTCTCCCTCCCAGTGTCCATGGAGCAGAGGTTCAGCTGGGGATGACACCTCCGGGCCTTCCCACACACCTTCCAAGGGCAGGAGCCTTCCTGCCTGGCCGGGAGCCCTGGGGGGAGTCCAGGCTGTGGCAGCTCCTGTTTGTCCCTTCCCCACGCACATTCCAAATCCCTGCTCTCACACTAAACCCTCCAAAGCTTTCCAAACCCAAATCCTTTCTTCTGTTCCTCCCTCACTGGGACCATTTCTGCCTCCTTCCCCTGCAGCTGGAGGAACCTCCCCAGCTGCTGCTGCTCCCTGGCATCAAACCACACCTTCCCAAACCCTGACTATTGCTCAGTTCAAAGAACAAATCTAGAGATTTCAGTTCACTTCTCTTTTCTCTGACAAAACAACAGCAACTGAAAAACCGTATTATAATCCACAAACTGAATCTCTAATTCACTAATCACTAATTGAAGATCGGCACAATTAACACAAATCCAACCCCTGCAAACACTAAAGCTGACACTAAAGAATGCTCTGAACACACAGTCCCAGCTTAACAGCTGCTGTGGCAATTTACCTTCCTTCAAATATTTCATGTGCACCAAACACTTTAAAATTCACACAGGAACAAACTATCACATTTAACACTTACAGCAAGTGAATTTTTTCTTTTTTATATCTATTATGGGCATCCCCGAGTCAGACAGGATTCTAATACTATAACACACACTCCCAGTAACACACACTCCCCAAACACTTCACTTTCTCCAGCACTGACCATTGGCTTTGACAAACACAGTTACCTGAGCAAAGCCCTCCCCAAAGCAGCTCTATGGGCAAGAGCTCTGTGTGTGACTGATCTGTGGGCAAAGCACACGGGGGGCCTGGAACCCACCCCCTGACCCACACGTGGGGCCTGGAACCCACCCCCTGACCCACACCTGGGGCCTGGAACCCACCCCCTGAACCACACCTGGGGCCTGGAACCCACCCCCTGACCCACACCTGGGGACAGGAACCCACCCCCTGAACCACACCTGGGGCCTGGAACCCACCCCCTGAACCACACCTGGGGACAGGAACCCACCCCTTTCACTCAGTCAGTAGGGATTTCTTCTCATAAGCCAAATATCACACTCCTTCTTTTACAGTTCTATCATCACTTTCACAACCCAATTCTATTCTATTCTGTTCTAGAGCTCCATTTCTAGGATGCTTAGGTATACCTTTTCTATGTTCAGGAATGCCTTAATAAAATTCCAGGGATCTTGCTTTGAACTCACCAGATCCAGGGACTGAGATCTCCCAGAAGAATATTTTCACTGCTCGCTGGAGTCCTCAGGGTCCCGGAATCCCTGGAGGGTCGACAGCATTGTCCCACCTGGCTCACCAAGAATTGTCCCTGAAAAGCGTTGGGAAGAAATGAAACCCTCCAACGCCCCTGGGAAGTGTTGGTGAGCCAGGCACTGCTTTGTTCTGGCTCCCAGAGACAGGGAGCCAATCATTCCAGCCACACCTGTCCCTTTCCAGACTTTTCACACATTTATACATTTGAACAAACAAACAAATTAATGTTCATTGGTTATGATTTACCCGAATTAATGAACTAATGAATTATCTTCATTAATTAAGACTCTAATTAGTATTCTATCCTTAACTGGCTAATTTGGTCCACGTTCTTTGGTCCTCTTAGCACTCCTCCTCAGACACAGAGTCTCCAACTCTCAGGCTGCAATGTCTTTGTAAATCCCCTCTGGACCTTCTGGTTCCTTCAACATGTCCTTGAAGGACCAGGAATTTAAGATCCCAGACGTCCAATCTTCAGCTCCCTCGGGCTTTGTTTATGGAAGCTCATCAGAGCCAGTGCAGAGAAACTCCAAGTTTGGGTGCTTTAAAGATCAAAGCGACAAGAGCCCGTGAAAAGAAACCCGGTCAACTGCTGCCACTGACGAAAATTTGAGGCAAGTTGGATCATTTCCAACAAGACCAACCCCCACCGCGGGGGGGGACCCCGCATCCCCCCGCCCACCGCCGGGGCTCTGCCGGGAACCGCCACCGGGACACCCCCAAAACCAAATCACCTCCCGCGGACCCCCCACGATCCCCACAAGGGGCATTTGCGGCTCAGCTTTGGAGTCCTTCCAGCTCCAAATGTCTTCCCCTGCAAAGAACCCCCTTTCCTGCAGCCCCACCCCCAAAGCAGTGCTCAGCCAATCCGAGCGCGCAGCGCTGATGACTCATCAGTTGCCAGACAGACCCGCAGCGCCCAGCGCTCCCCCCGGACCCCCCCAGGGTCCCCCCTCGGCCCCAGCGCCCCCCGGGATGGGAATTTGGGGAAAGGGGAGGTGGGGGGTGCCCAGGTTGGGCAGGAGGATGTTGGCTCCCCGGAGCCACGTGGCGATCGCCGGATACCAGCGGGGAGTGGGGGGACACGAGACCCCCTGCAGCCCGGGGAGGCGCCGACGCGGAACAGGCTCCTGCAGGACTTGTGACCCCGTTGGGGACCCACGGTGGAGCAGCCTGTTCCCTAGGGACTGTCTCCCCTGCCAAGTACCCCACGCTGGACGGAGCAGACACGGACTCCACTCTACCCCACGCTGGACGGAGCAGACACGGACTCCACTCTACCCCACGCTGGACGGAGCAGACACGGACTCCACTCTACCCCATAGGACGGAGCAGACACGGACTCCACTCTACCCCATAGGACGGAGCAGACACGGACTCCTCTCCCTGAGCGGGAAGCAGCTGTGGGACCCCCATCCCCCTGTGCCGAGGAGCGGAGGGAGGGAATAGCGGATAAAGTGAAGTCCGTGAAGGAGGGAGAGGTGGGGTAAGGTGTTTTATTAGGATTCGTTTGACTTCTCATCCTCCTGCTCGGATCTGAGCCGTTCCCAATCCCATCAATGTCCCCCAGCCGGGTCTTTGTGCCGGGGCGGCGATCGGGCAATGCCCTGTTCCTGCCCCCCGGCCCGGGCCGCGCCACAAAATGGCGGCGGCAGAGCTCGAGTCCCGTCATGATTGGCTGCTTCTCCCGTCACTTTTCGCCCTCGCGCGCTGATTGGTCGGATCGGGCGGGCACTGCTCCCTCCCTTCGTCTGCCGGGCCGGGGCAGCGGCAGCAGCGCTTGGATGGCGCTGAGGCGGCGGCGGAGCTCGGAGGCGGCGCAGGTGGGACCCGCGCTCGGTCCTGCCGGGGCTCGGGGCTCGGGGCTCGCTGCGGGCGGAGGGGGCGGGAGGTGCCGCGGGAAGCGGGGTCTGGCGGGCTCGGCCTGCCCGGGCGGGGCGGTGTCGGCGGCCCTGGGGAGCGGGGTCTGGCGGGCTCGGCCCGCCGTGTCCCCCCGTGTCCCCTCCCCAGGGGCCGCTGAGGGAGCGGCTGCCCGCGGGCTCCTCCTTCCCGCTGAGCCTCGGCGGGCTCGGAACGGGTTTGTGCCTCGGCCTTGGCCGCAAACATCGCATTCGTTCCCTGGGCTGCGACAAGCCGATAATGACACACTCGAGAGACACATTGAGTCGTTATTGTTTCAGAGTTGGCTGTCCGGGGCTGTTTCACAAGTCAAGCACCAACTCGCAAAGCTTTTTACTATTTATCATCATCATCATCATGGCTAGGCTTCGCAAAGGAAGATTTAGGAAGGCGCTATCCACGTTTGTTACAAGCACGCTGGTGGCTAATGAGGCCAATACGAGATAGACATCATCATCATGGCTAGGCTTCGCGAACGAAGATTTGGGAAGGCTCTATCCACATTTGCTGCAGGCACGCTGGTGGCTTATGAGGCCAATACGTGACAGACAAATCCGATTGCAGAAGGCACAGCAGAAAGATTCCTTAGATGGTGTATTCTGCAATACACGGTTCTTTCTGCGTTGCCTTTTTTCCTCGAGGGTGATCCTGCGTGTGTTCTCAAAGGAGACAGCTGCGTTATAGATGGTGTGTCTCCAGGCCTCCCGATTGGAGGCCAGAGTAGACCAGTTATGGTGATCAATATGGCCAAGGCTGAGATGTTGTTTCAGGGAGTCCTTGTATCTTTTCTTCGGGGCTCCTCTCAGGCGGCAGCCAGTGGCAAGTTCACCGTAAAGCAAGATCTTGGGAAGGCGGTGGTCCTTCATCCTGGAGACGTGCCCTGCCCAACGCAGCTGTGTTCTCATCAGCATAGCCTCGATACTTGTGATAGCTGCTTGCTCTAGAACAGATGTATTGGTCACATAGTCTGACCAGTGGATGTTTAGAATTGTACGGAGGCAGCGTTGATGGAAGCGTTCTAAGAGACGCAGGTGGTGGCGGTAGATGACCCATGATTCAGATCCATATAAGAGAGTCGACAACACTATGGCTTTGTAAACACTGATCTTGGTGCTTTTCTTCAAGTGTTTATTACGCCATACTCTTTTATGGAGTTTTCCAAAAGCACTATATGCCTTTGCTAATCTGTTGTCTATCTCTCCGTCAATCTTACCATCTGAGGAGATGAGGCTACCGAGGTAATTAAACTGTTGGACTGATTTGAGCTCTGATTGACCAATGGTGATGTGGGGATGATGGGGGACATCCTGAGGTGCAGGCTGATGGAGGACCTCTGTCTTCTTTAAGCTGACCTCCAGACCAAAGAGCTCAGCAGCATCTGCAAAGCAGGATGTTAAACGCTGCAGGGCTGCTTCTGTGTGGGCAACAAGGGCGGCGTCATCAGCATAAAGCAGCTCCCGGACAAGATGGTTTAAGGTCTTGGTGTGGGCCTTCAGTCGCCTTAGATTGAATAGACTTCCATCAGTACGGTATCGAATGTAGATACCGTCCTGATCATTGAGGTCTGCTGTGGCCCTTTGGAGCATCATGCTAAAGAAGACGGTGAATAGGGTAGGAGCGAGAACGCAGCCTTGTTTCACACCATTCTTAATTAAAAAGGGCTCAGAAAGTGTGTTGCCATATCTGACTTGGCCATGCTGATCCTCATGGAGTGAGATGATCATTTTGAGGAATTTAGGGGGACAACCTAAACGTTCCAAAATCTGCCACAGACCTTTTCTGCTCACAGTGTCAAAAGCCTTGGTGAGGTCGACAAAGGTTACATAGAGACCTTTGTTCTGTTCCCTACACTTCTCTTGCAGTTGTCTGAGGACAAATACCATGTCTGTGGTGCTCCTGTTGGCTCTGAAACCACACTGACTTTCAGGTAGAATTCCTTCTGCTATAGTGGGTATTAGTCTGTTCAAGAGTGTTCTTGCCAGGATTTTGCCAGCAATGGAGAGCAGAGTAATACCACGGTAATTTGAGCAATCAGATTTAATTCCTTTCTTCTTTTAAAAAGTGATAATGACTGCATCACGAAGGTCTGATGGTAGTTTGCCGAGTTCCCAACAGCGCACCACAAACTCGTGAAATTTGGTATGGAGTGCAAGGCCCCCATGTTTCCAGACTTCGGGTGGAATTCCATCAACCCCAGCTGCCTTGCCGATTTTCACCTGCTGAATGGCCTTGAGGGTTTCTCCTAAAGTGGGGGCACTATCCTATTTATACCTGTTAGCAAACAAAGCAAAACAAGCTTGCAAGCAGCTAGGAGACATTAAAGCTCGACAGAACACTTGCTGTTTTAGACTCAGCCCTGGAGCCCTCCTGCTACCAAAACCTGGCAAACCCAAGGCACTGCCCAGCATGGATCACCTGGAATGTGGGTCACCAGGTCTGTGCCCAACATGGATCACCTGGAACATTGGTCACCAGATCTGTGCCCAACATGGTTTGCAGCTGGGGCACTTGTAGGAGTTATTATGGACACAAGACTCCAAGTGACTTCTAGAGATGGACTTGGGCAGGAGGAACCCCCTAGCTGCTGTGTTCACACCTTGTTTTTCCCCCCACAGCAGGATTTCTTCCCAAACCTTGGCCAGATGGAGGAGGAGGCTGTGAGGAAGAGGAAGATGCCCCAGGACCCCCAGGCAGGTGAGGAGGAAGTCAGTGCCCCTTTGCCCCTGTCTTGTCCTGTATCTCCCAGCCGAGCATCGCCCCCGGCTGCAGGACAACCCCGCTGCCGCCGCCGTCCTGCCGGGGCCGGAGTTGGGGGGATGTCCTTGGCCTTCCCTCTGGGCCGGAGGCAAATCCCCTCCCTGTCCTTCCTTCCTGCCCCAGGCCCCAAGCTGAGGACGGAGAGCCCGGAGGACAAATCCCCCCGGCAGAGCCTGGTGGGAGAGGCCGTTTTGAAGGGCTCCACAGCGCAGGAAGGCAGCGGGGAGGGAAAGCCACGAAGGTACCCCAGGAGGAGGGTCTCCAAAGGCAGCCCAGGGTGCTCTGAGGAGGAAAGAGCCAGCCTGTGCCAAGAAGGCGGCCAGAGCTTGAGCCAGAGCTCCAACCCGATGGTCCCTGAGCAGCCTCCCAGCAGGAAGAAGCCCTACAAGTGTTTGGAATGTGGGAAGAGCTTTAGCAGGAGCGACCACCTGATCCACCACCAGCGCACCCACACTGGGGAAAGGCCCTACAAGTGCTTGGAGTGTGGGAGCAGCTTCAGCTGGCGCTTCTGCCTGATCCGCCACCAGATCGTCCACACTGAGGAACGGCCCTACAAGTGCATGGAATGTGAGAGCAGCTTCAAGAACCGCTCCAACCTCATCACCCACCAGCGCCTGCACTCCAGGAAACAGCCCTACAAGTGCTTGGAATGTGGGAAGAGCTTCAGCCTGAGCTCCGACCTTATCCGCCACCAGAAGATCCACAGTGGGGAATGGCCCTACAAATGTCCTGAGTGTGGGAAGAGGTTTAAGACCAGCTCACATCTCCTCCTACATGAGCAGACACACACAGGGGAGAGGCCCTTCTGCTGCACTGACTGCGGGAAGAGCTTCACCCGCAGCTCCCACCTTGTCATGCACCGGTGCATCCACAGCGGGGAGAGGCCCTACAAGTGTGACGAGTGTGGGAAGAGCTTTACCCAGAGCTCTGCCTTGACCTCACACCAACGGACCCACCAGTAAGCGAAGCCCTGTGAGCACCTCAACTGCGGGAAGAGCTTCATCTGCTGCTCCAACTCCATCAGCCATCAGGGGACCCACATTTGATGATCCACAGTGTGCTGGTTTAAAGGTAAACCAGCAGGGGAAAATGAACTCAACCCAAAAGAGAGATTATAAGTCAGAATAACAATTTAATAAAACAATACAATAAGTACGATTATACAGACAAACAATTGGTTTTAACCCACAAAACCCAAATGTATAACCCAGCACCCTGGGACATGAACGGAGTGGTGTTTGTTGGGCCCCCTGAGTCCAAAGTAAAGGGAGAGGGGGAAAAACCTGTTGGTGAGGGTGCTGTTGCAATCTGGTCCAGAGTGGTGGTTGCAGTCCAGTCGAGACTGGTGGTCTGCAGTCTGGTTGAGAGCGGTGATCTGCAATCTTCTTCTGGATCCCACGAGTGGTTAAAAAAGTCCCAAGACTCCAAGATTATATATTCTCCAGTTCAGGCAGGAATGCTCAGTACTTTCCTCAGGGCGGGGAGTTTCACAAAGGGTGTGAGAACAGGGAGGCACCCTTCTATAAGGCAGGCCTCTTAACACCTACTTGGTAGCCTGAGGAGTCAGGCTGCTCTGGGCAGAGGGTGTAAACAGTCTATTGAAAACAGTTTCTGAGAAATGGCATGGAAGGCTATAGAATACACAGTTTTGGGTTACACCCATCCAGTGATGAACTGGTCTCAGCTGTCCTAACTAGGACACACAGTGACCCACATTCCAGGTGATGCATGCTGGGCAGTGTATTGGGTTTGTGTGGCCAGGTTTTGGTAGCAGGGGGGCTCCAGGGCTGGGTTCTGTGAGCAGCTGCCAGAAACTTCCCCCATGTCCAGCAGAGCCAATTCCAGCTGGCTCCAGGACGGACTCGCCTCTGGCCAAGGCCGAGCCCATCAGAGATGGCAGTGACACCTCAGGGAGAACGTACTGAAGGAGGAAAAAGTCCTTGTGCAGATGGAATTGGGTGCAGAGAAGAGCAGAGTGAGAACAGGGGAGAGGAACAGCTCTGCAGACCCCCAGGGCAGTGCAGAAGGAGGGGCAGGAGGTGCTCCAGGCACCAGGGCTGAGATTCCCCTGCAGCCCAAGGAGGAGCCCACAGAGCAGGGGGATGCCCAAAAAGAAGGATGTGAGCCCGTGGGCAGCCCGTGCTGGAGCAGAGTCCCTGCAGCTGCTGCGGCCCCAGAGACCTCAAAGGGTCTCACTCAGCAGCGCTGGTTATGGGGCCCCCACAGGAATTGTCCATCCTGGCCCCAAGTCAGGTCCGTGACTTTCTCTGAAAGTTGGAGAACAAAAATCGGATTCCACTTGGGTTGTTCTTCAGGCAAGAAAAATAAGAAGTTTCCCAGGCTGTTGGTTAAACTGCAGGAGCTGGTTAGACAGCACCAGTTCCTGGCAGCAGAGAGTGTTTCTGAGCAGCTCAAGAGCAGCTCAGCCCAGGGCTGTTCATCAAGGCTGAGGCCTAAGGAGCATTTCTCAGATCACAGGGAGGCCTGGGGGGGTGGGGATGCACCACCACACCTGGAAAGGTGTCATCCCAAGGACTTGCATAGCTGGGAGGTGTTTTCAGTCCCAGGCCCCCCCCGGTCACCCCCCAAGGTGCTGGACGGCCCTTCAGACCCACCTGAGGCCACCCCCTGTCTCCACACCCTTTGCAGGGCAGCTCATGGAGCCTCCAGGACAGGAGATGGTGCCTCTGGACCTGCCTCACGAGGGGCTTCTGCCACCCCTGGGGCCACAGAGGGGACAGGGGCACCCTCAGCTCCTCCTGCCACGAGCTGATCTGGGACAACACCCTGAGCTCCCAGGGCCTGCACAGGTCCTGCTCCGTCATGGGCTTTATCAGGATCTTCCTGTGCTCCTCAAATAAAAGCACACAAAGCTGATAATCCGCTCAAGGCCCTCAGAAGTCACATATCTCCTCAGCAAAGCAAAACTGATCCCATAGGAGCAATTCGTGGAATATTTATTAGGAAAAAATCCAAAAAACAGAACAAGGATTGACTGACACAAACTAGGAGTACCTGTGGACTCTGCTGCCGAGTCACTGGCAAATGTAAAGTGTTTCTGTACTTACTGTCTAAACCTTCTACATCAATGCCCAGCAGGTATTCTTGTCATCACCAGTGTAAATAAAGTTATTAGCAGCCCCAGCACCTGGTACTTCCCCAGGTAAATATTTTCCAGGTGAGAACCCCCTGCCTGTATTTGCAAAGGCAAGACCCAAAAGGATGTTTTTTCCTATCCAAATGTTTGAATTTTTAATAAGGTTTAATGCAGCATTTTATTACTGTCCCCAATCCCAAAATTCCTCCTGCTCCAGGCTGCAGCTTGGGCTGTTTTGGGGTGAGAAATAGGTGGGGGAAGAAGAAATGGGAAAAGGAGGTGGAGGCACAGAAATCTCCCTCAGAGCTTTTCCCTCCTTTCTTCTCTCTCAGGTGTCTTGACTCCCACGCTTTCACAGGCCTGTTTTGAATCAAAGCAGCTGTTTCAGGAAATCCCTCTGAGTGGGGAGACAGCAGCTCAAAAACCTCCTCCCAAGGGCCCCTCCATCCCCTTCACCCACAGGCTGTGAGTGCCACGGGTGGGTCAGGGGGAATGGATCCCACCAGCCTTCCCCACACAGAACCATTTCCTACCCCTGGGCAGGGCCTCTGCTCCAGGGAAAGGCTCCATCTCTCCCAGAACAAGAATTTATATAAAACCATGCCCAAACCAGCCCTAGCTGTGGGTGTTGAGCAGCAGCTGAAGCTCCCAAACTGTTTCTGGGCTGGGAAGCAGGAAGGTGATGCAAGTTTTTCAACTCCCCTTTCCCAAGAGCAGAGGAAGGGGCAGGAGGGGGCAAAGCTGGGCAGGGCAGAGGTGGTGCTGGGGCCGGGGGTCTCTCCCCTGCAGCAGGGGGGACACACCCATGTCTGCTCAGGGGGCTTTGCTCACCTGGGGCTGCATTGAGAGGTCTCAGGGCCCCCCTAATCCTGACCCCCCCAAAGGTGCTGCTGCAGGAGCCCCAGAATCATCTGTGGGACAACTCCAATGTGGGTGGTGGGTGAAGAAACCTCATGGCACCCCCGGCAAGGGCTTTTTGCTCCCTGTTCATAACGAGCTTGAACACCCCAAAGAGCAGAGCCAGGGAACAGCCCCGGTTCATTTGTGCCGGGGGTTGTGGCATAGCAACAGTGGCACAGGCTCCCACATCCCCCTGTCAGCTCCCACATCCCCTTCCCTGGCTCCCACATCCCCTTCCCCAGCTTCCACATCCCCCTGTCAGCTCCCACATCCCCTTCCCTGGCTCCCACATCCCCTTCCCCAGCTTCCACATCCCCCTGTCAGCTCCCACATCCCCTTCCCCAGCTCCCACAACCCCTTTCCCGCCTCCCATGTACCCCCTGAGCTGGTCCTGGTCCTGGTCCCATTTTATCTGGGCTCTGTATGACCCTGAGCTCAGCTCTGGGCTGTCAAACCCTGTCCCTGCCTTGAGGGGACCCTGGGGGGGTGGGTGACCTGGCAGAGGGCACAGGATCCTCTGCAGCTCCCTGGAGGTGCTGAGAGCAGTGGGCTGTGCCCTCTCTACCACCCACCAGGACACTGGGAGAGGGGGATGCCGAGCACAGTCAGGGACACCAGGGATGGGGTGGGAAGGAACACCAGGACCCCTTGTAATGGAGTGATTAGAAGATGGAGTCTGATGACAAGATGGAGTCTGCTTCCCCATTGCCTTGAGCATGGAGTTCAAAAGCCTTGGTGCCACAGCCGGGCTGCTGCAGGAGCCGAGCTCCTTGCAAAAGCTCCAGGAGGCACCCAGCAAGCCAGCAGAGGCAGGCAGACGAGCAAAAAAGAGAAAAAGTTGTTACAATCAAAAAACATGGGAAGGACTTACTGTCCCAAATAAGGTGTGCCAGGCGGATCTCGCTTGGAGACCGGGGAGCCAGCCAAGGGACACTCGGGGCCCATCTCGGTGCCAGGAGACCTTTGCTTGGATCCTGGTGAACGGGCCAGGGGGCATCCAGGGGTCCCACGGCGAGGGGATTTAAGGCCGTGCCCGGGGACTGTGGGGAGCTGTTGCAGGACTGCTGCGGGAGCTGCTGCCACCCCCTTCCCCTGCGGGTTGGGTTCGTTCCTCAGAGGCTACAAGGCGACCAGGGCAGAAGCCCAGAGATCTACCAGCTTGCAAGGCAGCGGCACTTCATGGTGCTGCTAACTCCTGTCCTGTGCTTTTAACAGTTCCCCTTAGCTTGTCCCACTGTCCTATCTCCCTTCTTTCTCTCTGCTCTTTTGTGTTCCAAAACACAGTTGAATTCTCGTTTTGGGATCCAGCATCTGGCCTCGTTTGTGCCTTAACCTGGCTTATGGGAGTGTTTTAGAACCTGGTTCGCATCTGCATCGAAGCAGATTGGAACATATTTTTGGCATAGTTGGCAGGATTCCCTAGAAGCGAGAGTGTTGGTTCCAAGGTGATAATTGTGCACTGTAATAATTGATTATTTTGTGATATAGAAGTTACTTGTAAAGCAAAGAAACTCAATGGCCACAAAGTGTCATTAAGCAGGTATTCTCTTTATTACAGGGCCGGGCAGCACGGGGGATATCTCCTCCTAACATATGCGCCTGTTGGAACAGTGTATGCCTGTTACAGTATTCATATTAATACTTACAGTATTCATATTAATTACTTTTCTTGGAATGGGCAGGTTTAAGCTAATTATTTCTCGGAACTCATTTACATGGTTTCTTACCTCCTTGCACGTGCACGTTATCATGCAGAGGGTCTTCTTGGAGGGTCTTCAGATGAAGGCTCAAGGTCTTCTTCTTGGTGAAACTTTTGAACTTTCCTTGTTGTGCAGGCTCTCTGCCATCTTGGTTAATAACCAGACCACTAGTCCAGTTTGTACCAGTTCCGTTCCTTTATCTGGTGTTTGAAGCATCATATTGCATCCATCACTTTGACATTGGGTACATCTCGTGAGTATTGCTGGTCCCAAAAATAATTCCTGAAATATGCTTTATTTTCAAAAGGTTACAGGTTAGCTCTATTTTAGTTACAAAAGATTAAGAGTCTACTACGTTCTTTAACCTGTATGACTGCTTTGCTGATGTGACTAAAGCAAGGTGCCCCTCAAGATGAAGTGTAT